CAGACAAAAAAAACAAAAAAAAACCTTGACTATAACATATCAAAGATGTAACAATTTTTTTAAGAAAATCTTACCTGACTGAAACATATCAAAGATAATAACAATTTTTTATGTTCCCAGCAAATTAAAAATTAAAAATTAAATATAAAAAAAAATCTTGCAGCAATAATACTTTTGCTTGAATGGCTTGTAGAGTTAACTGCTTACCTTCTCCAAGTTATCAAGCACCCTTGCACAAGAATCATGTGATATGATGAACTGACCATGGATGACTAAAATATAATAAATCCACGGCAGCAAATGCTTCGAACTAGCAGACCTATTGATTAAAAAAACATCTCAAGCATAAGATAACCATGTAATAAATGCAAACTAAATGAATCTTCAACAACATGAGATTATAAAAAAGGGAAATTTATGTGGCACGCAATTCTTATGTATTTACATATCTCACACCTCAAGTTTCATATTTACATACATAGTGCTTCGGTGCTTTAAACCTATGCATGAAAATGTGTACTTCACTATTAAAAAGGGATAATATTGCTATTTTTTATGCGATATTAAATATTTAAGTATGATGCCTGTAAATATGAAAGAAGAGAAGAGATATGTAAATACATTAGAATTGTGTTCAATTTATGTAAATGCCCCTATAAGAAATTACAGCATTGGCTGAAACATTTTAGTAAGCAAAAATGTAAAAGTCATTCATTAACAAATGAGAATGCTTTATGAAACAAAACAGAATTAAAAATTAGACATGAGCAATACCAACATATAGCCGTTATATACTAAATGAACCATAATTTAAATTATAGCAGTTTCTCTTTCTTACTGACATTATCAAAGGGCTCATTTGGTATTTGTTATACACGGTGTTCGCTGGGCATTCAGATAAAAGTATTACAAAAAAGATTTATGGGAAATTTACACCCACAGCATGCAATTCTTATGTATTTTCATATCTCACACCTAAACTTTCGTATTTACATGGACAGCACTTTGGTGCTTTAAAACTGTGCATGAAAATATGGATTTAACTTTTAAAAAGTGGCAACAAAACTTTTTTTAATACGATATTAAAGATATGAGTGTGGTGTGTAAATATTAAAGTTTAGGTGACTGATATGTAAATACATAAGTATTATGTGTTATGTATTTAAATGACCCAAGATTTATATGGCTTGTACTCCCAGAGTCAATGAAGGCAAGAAGCAAGATAAAAGCGAGGAGCTAAAATTAATTATGAACTCGTTTAAAGCCAAAGGCACATATATCAGAATAATAAAAACATATTAAATATATGGTAGAATTATGATCAAATAAAATTCTTAAAAAAATACTCTTCAAAAAGCTGACTTCAAAACTGCAAAAAAAAAAAAAAAGCTACTCATAGACATAGTAGCAATACTAAATTCTAATATGTAAATAAAAGAGAATAGAAAAATAGCTAATATACTCTCGTATTTTAGTTTCTTTATAGATATTTGAGTCTATGGTCTGTCATTAGATTCAATAAATAACATTAATTTTCTCATTATTAGCATTTTTTCTAGTTTTACATAATCAAATCCCTAACTAATAATTTGTTTGCCAAATCAAGAGGAAACTATGCAAAAGAAAGAGATAAAAAACAATTATTGAAGTAAATAAGAAATTTAGTCTTATATTAGCACAAGATGAGCTCCCCAAAATGAGATAATCGCTCTTGCATCGTGCTCTAAGAAATCACAAATCTAACTTTCACTCCCAATACTGAAAATTCAAAGAGTAATTATATTCTAACGTTACAGTTCTCCTTTGCATGCCTCATAACTATTATTTATAGTCCTTAAAACCTAGACAATTAGATAATGTTTAAAGGGTCATTTACATACAGCCCAATTCTTATGTATTTTCATATCTAACACCTAAACTTTCATTTTCACATTTATGTCGCCAAAATTTTTCATATCAGATCAAATATACCATTATTTTAACTTTCAAAATGTGAAAAATACACCTACCTATTCATACATAGGGAAGGTGACATACATGTAAAAATTGAAGTTTAGGTGTTAGATATGTAAATACATAAGAATTGAGTGGTATGCATTTAAATCTTCCTTAAAGTTAATAACAGATATAACAGTCAATTCAACTTTTAATTTCAAAACGTACAAATGCCCTGTACAAATGCCCTATCCAAACAATTAAGTCCATGAGTAGCCAATCATAATGACTTCAAGCGGCCGTAATGATAATTTCGCCACATAACAGGAAGAGGATAATGCCAAATTCCACCACAGCAACCCCTAATGCGACATGAGAAATATTTTCATAAGTCTAATCTGCTAGGCAAATTGGCGGCTGGAAAATAGGAAACAAATTCCTTTGTATGCAAGATTGCAAGGCGAGAACAGACGGAAAATTTGTCAGACCATTTTCTGCTGGCAATAAAAAATCACTTTAGACAAGCTTCAAGCCCACATACCCAAAAATTCCCAAAGTTCTTAATTAAATACAACCGAAAAATCAATGGAAATGAAACCGATTCAACATGTAAAACTCAAGCAATTCACCATCCAAAGCCATAAATAAAAAAATTAAAGTCTGAGATCTCCATAACCCAATGCAAATTTAGAGTTAGTTTGATAAAAATAATTACATTTACTCGTCGGTCCATAATGATCAAATATAAGGGTTTATGATCGAGAAAAACCAAAAATTTGCATTAGGTTTTGGAGATACAATTTTCAACCCGAAAACTTAATAGTTTCAATTAAAAAAAAATTACTAGTTTAAACAGGTTATTTTTTATGATTTTAAAACCAAATCGTACTAGCTTATCCAACCAATTCAATCATGAACCAATCCTTTGATCGGTAAGTTCGACTCCAAAACTATTTTTGCACAAAACTGATCAGAACAGGCAATTAAACCAATGAATCAAAATGACTTTTTATATGCAGATGGTTCTAGAATTGACTACTATTTGGCTTTTTTATTTTGATCGAATGACTAAAACTAAAAAAGGTTTAAATTAAAAATTAATAAAACAATTAAAATAGCATTTATCAAAATTGTTTAGAAGCATGTTCAAAATATTAAAAGCTTGAAATATCCTGAATTAAAATATTATATATAAAGTTGATGAAAGTATCATGATTGCATCATTCTTATAATGTTTTAATCATTTAAAAACAATTAATATTATTACATCATCAAGTTCAATCCTGATTGAATCGTTCAACCTTGAACCTGTCCTTCTTGTACAATGTCCAATCTGATATTCACAACTTGATATTTTGGATATTATATATATAACTTTAGTAGCCATAAATTTTCATTATAAAAGGAGCGCAATAATAAGGGCTACATATAATAAAGTATTTTAACATAATATAATAGCATTAATTTTTCTAATATATTTTCTAATATAAAAAATAAAAAAATGCTTACAAACAAAGAATATAAAACATAAGAGAAGTTTGAAAAATGCATCAAAAAGTGCAATTGTTAGCATATTCTCACATGGAGGAAAAATCAAGGGAAATGTGTCTTGAGTTCGCTCTCAAATGAAAAAGTCCAACATATCACGACATATTTGACTCGACTTTAAACTTTGATCTTTGCATCAAATAACAAACTACTAAAAGAGAGAAGCACCAATACATATGCAAGTTCTCTATATCCTCTAACAATTTTCTTTGGATAAAAATAACAAAGTTGCCTTAAATTCTTTTAGTTTTAAGAAAAAGAAAACCATAAAAATGCATAAAGCAGATGCAACTAGAATTAATATTAAGATTCACCATCAACTTGATTAAATGAGAATAAATTCACTCACCCAGTTCTCCATGATGGAACCAATAATTCTAACAGCTTACAAGCATCACCTGCTCTCATTTTCGAGATTTGGCTCCTTATCTAAAATGAAATTGATAAAAAAACTTTAGTACATAAGACAATAATTTTGACACCATACGTGTGTGGTTATTCATCCATATAACAACAAAATTCATTATATGGATGCAATTACAAAGAGAGGCATTAACACACATGCCACTCAAAAAGGAGCATTTCTATGTATTTACATATCTAACACCTAAAATTTGTTTTTTTACATTTATAACACTCGAAGCTTTCATATCACATCAAAAACACCATCATTTTTTTAACTTTTAAAAAGTGGAATGCACCTTTTCATCCATAGGTAAAGTTGTATGTATGCAAAAAATAAACTTTAGGAGTTGGATATGTAATTACGTGGTAATCGAGTGGTATGTATGAAAATCTTCCTTAAAAATTTTGGCAAAAGAATAATCAACAACAAGGCTATGGAACAACAAAAATTGAACTAGAAATATAAAACAGTGTTGAAAATATGATATTTGCATGAGTATCATTAAAATTTAGGCGGAATGTAAATGAGATATTTACATACATACCACTCAATTCTTATGTATTTGCATATCTAACACCTAAAATTCAATTTTTACATAAATGTCACCTCATCTATGCATGAAAAGGTGCATTTCACTTTTAAAGGGTTAAAATACTGATATTTTTTAAGTGCTGCGAAAGACTAGAATCGTTTATAAAAGTAAAAAACAAAATTGAGGTGTTACATATGCAAATGCATAAGACTTGGGTGGTCTGTATGTAAATGCCCCAAATGAGAAATGACAAAATGCACCATATTGTATCTTGGTGCTGCATTTTATGCACTCGTAATAGGACAAACCTTTTTTCGTGGCAAGTTAACATCAACTATGAAGTCAAGGCTGTCATACATGATGGCATCATCAAAACCATTGGAAAAAGCTTTCCTCTCAAGTTCGTATTTATCCTCAAGAAGTCCTGCTACTCTAAGCCTATCTTCAATACAAATTGGTTCATCCAGTTCCACAATTTGCATCGAAACTGCACAAGGAAAAAAAAAACTTATTATTGGTGATATAGAAAGTAATGAAGCAAATAACATTTTGAAGTGACAAATATTTGCCAAATTGCAAGGGACTTGATCATAAAACATATGATAAGATACCTTCGTTAGGCGAAAAGGAACTCTTTCTCTTTCTTGTATCAAAGTCAAACTTTGATTTCTCAAAATCTAAAACAGGGTAGGGTGTGCAATTCTTTCTCTTTTTTTCATTAACATGTAGCTTCGTGAAAGGAAGAATAGCATCTTCAGCATTGGCAGAGTCTAAAGTGTAAACTATTGGAACAATAGAGTGATATTTCCAAGTTAGAGTAATTTTGAAAAAAAATTATTGACATAAACATAATGAAGAGATCAGAAAACAAGAAGATCGTCAATGGAAAAATTCAATCAATTTTGATTTAAAAACCTAAGCTACATTGGCTACAGTCCACACTCAATTTTAGAGTAAAGTGTCAAAATAGTCTCTTGACTATTTATATGGGACCATTTTAGACCTGGAGTCCATAAAAGTGTTAAATTAGTCCCTAAACTATTTTAAAATGAGTTTTAGCCATATTAGAAAAGCCCTAAGGACTAAATTGACATTTTTATAGTCTCTGAGACTAAAATGGTCCACTATAAAAATTCAGGGGATCATTTTGACACTTTCTTCTCAAACTTACATATGACTCTTAAATATTTTCACTCAATAAATCCATTTTAATGGAAGAAGTCCCATGTGAAGTGTACAAAAAAAATAGTGATTGAATCTAGCACGAAAATTCATTTAGTTTTTGAGGGATATCATACCTTTAGCATTAACCACTTTCTCTTTACTCGAGATGTGAGACAGACCAACATGAAAAAGAAGACCCTCCTTCGATGTATTCAAGCTAATGTCGACGCCGTGTTCGACTATAAGTTTCTCAAAAGATGGCTTTATCAAAGATCCATGGGCAACCCGCACAGATCCAACACTAGATCGAACTATTCTATCAAGTTTTGCAGCAAATATTGCTCGATTGTTGCCCTTTGATGGAAAAGATTCAATTTCTGGCGAAATTTTCGTAGGCCTCGCATTTGGTAGTTCCTCAATGTGATTTCCATGCCAGAAATAACAAACACCAATCTCTGAAAGTGCAAGAACGAATAAACCTCGAAGCTTCAAATCCTCATGATTCGAGCCACGACTGTCAAGAAAAATGGCGGGATGCTCCATTAAAAGAACACAGCTCGCGCTTTTCTTTTTTGTTCCATCAATTTTCCATATAGCAATGTGTCTTTCACCAACTCCTGAAGTTAGTACAGACTTTCCATCTTCACTAAAGATCATGCATCTTACAGAAACCTAGAGCACAGCCAGCACAATTTTAAGACAAAATTCAAAATATTTAACTATAGACCATATGGGAATAATGAAGTCATATGAGGATATCAGTGAGATCATAATAAAAAATAGAAACTAAAGTTTGATTTTTACATTTATACCACCCAAATCTTTCATATCACGTAAAAAATCACTATTTTAACTTTTAAAAAGTGAGAAACACCTTTTTATGCACAGGTAAGGTGGCATCTATGTAAAAATTCAAGTTTAGGTGTTAGATATGTGAATACATAACCTAAAAAATATTTAATTAAGAGCAGTTACCAGTAAGGCTAACTAACCGGATGCCCGGAGAACTTTTGTATCTTAGTATGGTCTGCGCAACTAAAAACCTTCAAAAGACCAGCAGCCGCAGCCAGCATATTCCCATCTATAAAAGATGCTTACAAATAAATATTGTGTAGGATTAAATTTCTGTAAAGGCAGATAAAATTCGAAGTTCAAATCATATATAAAATTAAACACCCGCGCATTTACCATTTAAACTCTTGTAGAAATACTGAGAAGTTGATAAACACAATTATGTGAAAGACTTTGCTTTTTTATAGAAGATTTAGATTTGATGCAAAAAACTTTAAAAAATATGAAATTTTGAGGGAGAACAAGCTATTAGTCACCAAGTATTCACTACCAATGATGAAAGAAAAAACAAAATCCATACACACACCCATTAATAAGATTTTGGCATTCTAATATAAATAAGGACATTTATCTACATACACACAATTCTTATGTATTTACATATCTAACACCTAAACATTCATACTTGCATACCACTCAAATCTTTAACATCACATGAAAAATATCACCTTCATTACCTTTTAAAAGTGAAATACACATTTTTATGTATAAGTTTATAATATTAAGGTGTTATAAATGTAAATATCAAAATGGGTGTTAGATATATAAATGCATACGAATTGTATGGCGTGTATGTAAATTTCCCTATAAAATAAAGCATAAAATTAGAGATCATGAAAATCATACAATCAAATACATGTCATATTTGAGATATAGCATATAGAAGAACATATATTAATTGATATTTTAAGGAAACCAATCAAACATCCAATCAATAATAGGGGGCGAGAGAGAGAGAATAAAAAGCAAAAAAGGGACAGCATTAACCGAAAGGCAAATCACATGATTTAAACAAGGATTTAGGTTCTCCAAAATGCTTCAAGATACCACGCACGTTAAAAAATTAAAATGTCATAGTAGAGAAAAAGTTTACACATCCAAAAGAATATTTATTTTATTTAAACGAAGATTTAAATACACACCACTCAATTCTAAAGTATTTACATTCCAAGCACCTAAAATCTAGCACCTAAACTTCAATTCCCTTTTTATTTAACTTAAAATGAGGGTATTTTTTATATGATATGAAAGATTTGGGTGGATCAGTGCTAACCAAAGCGCAGTGCGCAATGCAATGCATGGGGCTTTATTTTTGCTTCGAAACACGTAGCGCAGAGCAAAGTGACGATTTTATTAACCAAAGCGCTAATAAGTTATATAAAACTATTAATATATAAATACATTTATTAACAATTATAAAATATAAAATAGGACTTAAAGTTAATGTACATGGAAAAAAATGTGATACAATTTCTAACGAAGGCAAACATTAAGGGTGGACCTACAAATTAAGAATCTAAACCATTTCTAATAGTTTTTTGCAATAATTAAAAACTAAAAATTTGCAAATTAATTTAGAACCTCGAAGCACTATTCAGCAAAGCAAAAAGAGCATCAAGCGCTTCGTTTCACTTTGCTTGTAAAGCCCATTTTTAAAAATATTGAATGGTATAAATGTAAATATTAAAGTTTAGATGTTCGATATTATAGATGTAAAAAATAATGTTTAGGTGTTAGATATGTAAATCCATAGGAATTGGGTAATATGTATGTAAATGCCCCTTATTCAAATCATCAACTCTTTTACATGCATAAGAATACATATATTCATTGGCCTCACGGTAAACATTAAGATAATTATTCTTGGATAAACATCTTGGTTTAGCCAAAAATGATGCAAAGTTTTATAGAGATTAAGATTTCTAAAGCAAATCTAATATGCAAAATGGAATTAAGCTATATGCAAAGCTTCTTTTTTATGAAAATTTTAGACTAAATGTTTCAATCTTTATTTTGTATCAATTATTTTCAATAAACAAACAATGTTCTTTTTCAAGAAGAAAGTTCATGATAAAAAAATAAATAAATAGGATGGGAACATAACAAAATTCCATGGTGGTGATCAAAAAGTACCTGCAGAAATTGCGAGAGCTGATATGCCCTTTGTGGAAGATCTAAATTTCTTAATAACACTCCCAATTGAGCAGTCAATCTGGCAAACCATACCATCAAGCCCAGCTGTGTACAGAAATGAATTGTGTCTAGAGAATGAAATTGCACTGACACCCCTGCAAAGCATATATTTTTGTCAGCCAAAGTAAATTTACAGTTTTGCTCCAAAAATAACTAAAACTGACAAATTTTGTATAGTGAATAATATTCAAAATAAGATCACCATGACTATATTCCTCAATTCTCTATAGAAATAGCAAATCATTTAGCATAGATTAGCTCACTAACCCAGAATGGCAGTCACAAACTCTCCATCTCAACTGGCCGGTGGACACTTCCACTGCCAAAACATCGCCGTCGCCGGTGCCTAGTACTAATAACGAGTTCACGTGCTTCTTTTTCTTCTTCATTGCATGATTGTAATAAAAAAAAAAAGTTTAACTGGAAGCGCTGAATCCAGATTTGATATAAAAAAATTGGGAAATTTACATACCTAACACACAATTCTAATGTACTTACATATCTCACAGCTAAAAATTCATATTTATAAACAAATCACTTTGGTGCTTTAAAACTATGCATAAAGAGAAAATATTACATCCGAAGTCCTGAAGCACGGACTCCAATTAGAATTGGACGCATGCCCTTGTCTAAAACACGGAGAAATTTGAAACTCGACTCGGTCATGGAGTACAACATGGCTGTACTTTGATTTTTCTTGAGTAAAATCGTGTTGTACTCTATGGCTTCGACATCAAAATATTTCTTTGGATTTTTTTTTAATTAGCACAGCATGGTTGAAGAAAAACAAAAGTACAACCATGTTGTATGCCATGTCCAGGTCAGATGTAATATATTCTCATGCATTAAAAGGTATATTTCACTTTAAAAAAGTTGTTGCAGTGCTATTTTTTATGTGATATTCAGGATTTGAGTGCTGTGTGAGTAAATATGAAAGTTTAGAATAGCTATGTAAATAAATAAGAATTATGTGTGCATTTTAACAAGGTACCTTCTTTTCCAACTGCACCCACTTCATGCATTTGTAATCAAGCGCAAGATGCCCCTTCTTTGATTCAAATAGCGTTTCTGAATCATTTGAAGTTGTCCTAAAATCAGAAAACTCAGTCTGAACTTGACCTTTCAATGTATCCCAAATCTGCACATTTATTTGAAGATCCAAAAAATTGAGCCATTAATAATGAGAAAAAACAATGAGGTTTTAAGAGACCCTAAAACGTTAACAGTAAATTACCTTAATTCTTCCATCAGACGAAGCGATTGCGAAGAAATCCGAAGAGGGACTGAAGGATGCGAGGAGATCTCTTATCCCAGGGGAGGCCATCGTACTCCAACAAGAAACTGAAGGTTATGATCTATTCGAATTAGATGTTGGGCCGGTCATCTAGTGAAATGAAGTGGCAAAACTTTACTTTCCAGCAAGCTATAATGCCCAGTGCATCGCGAAGGTTCGTTCATGGTTTTGGGGCAAGCCGGGAGTGGAAGGAAGATAAGCGAGGGTTTGGGGCAGATATAAGAAGCTAGGGCGAAAGCGGGAGAGGGGGAGGATGTAGGTTTGGGTTTCTTCTTCCATAAAGGCTTCGAGGGTTTTAATTTATTTTTGTTTAAGTTAATTTTATTAATTAATTGATTAATAATTAATAGTTTCAATATATATTATTTGATTAATTATAATTAGATAATCTATGTTGATTATTTAATAGTTAAATAATGAATAAATACACATTTAAAATTTTTAATTATTTGATAATAATTATAGATAGGGATGTCAAAATGAAATGTTGCTCGTGAACAATTTGTATTTTGCTTGTTAAGAAGCCCTTGTTCAATGAAAACACGAAAACACTAGAGAAAGAACATGTCAGAAAATCACGATAAAAAACCATTACATCTACATCATAGAAACACAAAAAAGTGTTTAAACGGGCATTGTAAGAAAACAACAGCCAAGAAATCCACACAGAAAGCAAAACTTACAATAAAGACTCATCATCTCCACAAGAGCAACATCTCTCTCTCTCTCTCATACAAAAACTTTCTCAAAACTCGAAAGAATAAAATGTAGATACTCAGCCATTTAGGGTTACAACTAAAGGGAGGAAGATAACATCAATGGAATACTCAAAATCTCTCATATTCTCCATCTCTCGCAGTCCTAGAACTCTCTTTCCTTAAAAGAAGCCCTAATAATCATTCTTATAATAGAATACATGAATTTGCAAGTAAATTTCCTTCTAGAGGTGATTTTCTGCTCGTCGACGTGGTCACGTCGAAAGCTGGTGTGGTGACGTCGAGCTTCTAAATCTAGTGGCATGGTAACGCTTGATCCCGACATGATCACACCTCATGTCTATGAATCTGACATGGTCTTATCGAATTTTAATGTGGTTGCGCCACTGCCCTTGATCATATGGCATGATCACGCCGCATTGGATCGCTTTTCCAATATTTTTTCCTGTTCTAAATTGTTTGTATTCAACACTTGCAATCTGCTCACATCAAGAAAAAATTTTTTTAAGTGTAAATTTGTGATAAATTAGTAAAAATAATAGGTAAAACATAGGCGCGATTAAATAAAATTGATGCATGTTATGGGAGTGGGAGCCGAACCGCAGAAAAAGATGAGTTTTCGTGATAGTTTTATTAATGTAGTCAAATGTGAGTTTTGGCTGATTCAAATGTGAATAAGCTCGTTGGAATCGTCTCAATAATTCAAACGCGCTCGTGTCGTCAATTTCAAAAAATTACACCCCTATGAAAGTTATATAAATAGTGAAAAATTACATACATAGCACCTAATTCTCATGTATTTGTCAATCTCATACCTAAAATTTCATTTTTACACACATAATACTTTACGTATGAATGAAAATATGAATTTGACTATTAAAATGTCACAATGAGTGCTACTTTTTATACGAGACTTATAATTATGAAAGTTTTGATGAGAGATACCTAAATAAGAAAGTTTTTGGTGCTAGCCACTGCCACCGCCACCGCCACCGCCACCGTTCGCCGTTGTCGCATGCCCGCCGCCATTTCCGCCCGCCTTCTTTGCTTGTCACTGTCACTTCTTGCCACCTTAACTCTCGTTCCAAGTTGTCACCTCTAGTCGCTGCCACCGCCACCCGTCGTTGTCTGTTTGTCGCAGTACGCCGTCCGCTGTCCACCTTCACATGTTGGTCGTCCGCCGCCGGCTGCCGCCTGCTCCCAATAAAATATATTATCTTTACCCTACTTCAAATTAAATAAAAAAAATATATATATAATCTTAAATTTATTTTACATTTCACCAAATAACTGAAAAATATTCAAATAATCAAAATATATTGTAAATCTTTTAGATCAATTTTTATTTTTATTTTCCAAATTTATTTAGATAGTTTTATTATTTTCACAAGGAAGGAACAATAAAAGTAGCAGCAAACACACAGCATCATTAATTAAAATTCAAAAAGCCAAAGCAAAAACTAAAGCGCCAAAAAAAAAACCCTAATCTGAATCAAAACGAGCAAAGCACAGAGCAAAGCAAGCTAGAGCTCACCGCCATGGCTGCCGCTTCTCTCCTCCTTCTCCTCCTCTCCTCCATTTTCATCTCCTCCTCCTCCTCCTCCTCCTCCCAAACCTCCTGCCCCTCCACCTGCACCTGCGGCCTTCTCCCCATCCACTACCCTCTATCCATCGACGATGGCTGCGGAAGCCCTCTCTACCGCGACCTTCTCTTCTGCAAACCTAACCCGTCCAACGATTCTTCCCCCACTCTCCTCCTCCGCACGCCCTCCGGATCTTACCCGATCCTCTCCCTCTCCTACTCAAACCAAGACTCCCATCTCGTCATCTCCGATCCCTCCATGTGGACCTGCGACTCCCATTCCCCTGCTCCCCTCACCCCCTTCTCCCTCGACACAAGCACCAGATTCTCCCTATCATCGAAGAACTCCTTCCTCTTCCTCAACTGCAGCCCCGATTCGGTCATCATCGAACCCCGACCGGCGTTCTGCGACAGATCCCCTGAACGCTGCGGTTCGTCCTGCAATTCCGACTCCTATCTCTGCCGAAACTTACCCGGATGCCCTAATTTGCTTGCGGAGAGCTCCACCACCTGCTGCTCTTTTTACCCGACGGCGGTGGAATCGGTGAGAAGAATGCTTCGGTATTGTGCGGGATACGCTGGTGTTTACTGGAGGACGAATGGCGGCGGCGGCGGAGATGAGGTGGCGGAGTATGGGATTCGAGTCGATTTCGAGGTTCCGTCGGCGGCGAAGTGCCGGACTTGTGCGGAGAAGGGGAAGGGCGTCTGCGGGTTCGATACGGCGACTGGTGATTTCTTGTGTCTCTGTACCGGAGGAGTTTCTACTACTAATTGTGAAGGTGAGAAGGAGAAATTGTTCACTATAATTAATTTATTTAAGTTGTGTTTGGGGCAGTTTCTGTGTTAAGTATAATTAGTTTATCCTGAAACTCAGCCCGCGCCGCAACCTGCGTTTACTATAAAACGTGTACCGTATTTTTGGATAAGCGGATAAAATGTGCGATCCAAACGGTACCACGGTGTTTTTAAAAACGCCCCGCACTTATAAGTTGACCCAAACATGATTTATACAAAAAAATATCAACATTATTATTATTTTCTTAAAGTGAAATATATATTTTCTTGCATAAGTTTAAGATGTAAGGTTATAAGTGTAAATATTAAATTGAAGTCATATACTTCTGCAGATGACTCACGGAAGCACAAAACTCCAGCAGGAGTTATAGCCGGTAAGTACATTTTTAAAAGTCAAACACGAGCGAGCCAAGACCAAGCTCGTGTTCGGCTCATTTATATTTCGAGCTCAAAAAGTGTGTTCGTGTTCAGCTTGTTTGCTTATCACGAACAAAAAGTCATTTTAACAATCCTAATCACGTAGTCATAAAGTGTTAATGATTGGGACAAGATTTAAAACATCATTTGAATCTAATTTAATACTTTTTTATTATATTTTCTTCATTAATACATTTAATTAATTATAAATCTTTGTAGCCTTGTAGTCAATTAAATTTTAAAAAAAATACTACTCATAAAAATATATATATATATATATAATTGATCAGTAGTATTTCGAGCCAAAACGAGCCGAACACGAGCTTCTTAACGAGCCGAACACGAGCTGTTTGCGAACAATGAGCTGTTTTGACAGCCCTATTTTTAACAAAAATGAATCTCCCATTTATTTTTCATTTCAATTAATTAATTAATTATATATATATATAAGTAATATTAGAATAATGAAAAATAATTAAATAAAGGAAATAATGGGGCAGCTTCTGCTACTGTGGCTTCGTTTGCGGCGCTGACCGGATTTGGAGCAGTAATGTGTTATATAAGGAAGATGAGGTCCAACAAGCTGGTGGCTTGTGGGGTTCAGAGTAATGAGAACAGGATATTTTAATATTCTGATTTTAATTAATTAATTAATGAATTAATTAATTAATTATTGGAATATTTACATACATGCCTCACAATTCCTATGTATTTACATATATTTCATTTTTAACTTTACTGTTTACGTTAATATGGTTTATCAATCAAAAGGTGTATTTCACTTTTAAGGGCTCCTAAAGTTAGCTTGGTTTGATTTTTAAGATTTCTAGACATTAATTGCATGGAGAGCATTGCTTCTCTATTTTATTAGACAATATTTTATTTTTAAGAAATGGTCAGATGCTATTATACGAGTCTTCAGTCATCACTAATATGTCTAACTATTCGAGTATCACCTTTTTAAGGCTCGCGTCGTCAGAGGGGAATCGAATAACAGATCTAAGGGGTCTTACACTGAGAATGTTAACCAATAGGCCGGAGTGCATGGCACCAGAGACAATATATAACGAATGGTTAATATAATTAAATTGATAGCATTGATTTTCTAAATTTTTCAGCTTCCTCCTCTCCCACCTTTTTGTTTCTCGCTCCTTGTGTGTGTGTGTGTGTGTGTGCACGTACCGTGGTCTGTTGGTAGAGCAGATTCTCTGCATATCGTAAGTTCCCTCAGTTCATGGGTTTGAATCCTCCCGTGCGTAGGGTTTGGTACTCTAATATTTAGCACACCTAGGAATGATCGAAGCTGTTATATATGTATATATATATATCAAAGCATTTACATAGCACAATTTTCTTACTCATTTACATATATAATGCCTAAACTTTCATTATTTGGCATCTAGCACTCAAAATCTTAACATCACATCAAAATATTATGACTTAAATATGAAAATTAAGGGGTCAAATTTGTAAATACATGATTGTTATGGCGATAGATATGTAAATTTCTCAAGAATATAGTAATTTACATACCCTAGACCCAAACTTCAATTTTTACTTATAGAGCAACTTTCCCATGGTACCCTCACTATATTTTTACTAAGCTATTTAATATCATATAATATAGTAATATTTTAAATTCTTAAAATTAAATACTCAATAGTAATTAAATATTAACTGCATTTTTTAATTTAATAATAAAATTTATAGTTTTTTTTTTAATTTATTTAAGGAGATGAAACATTTAAACTTAAATATCCATCATTTTTAAATCTTAACTTTACTACTTCTCTTCTTGAATCTTAGTTCCACTAATTATGAATAACAAACTTAATTTCACTTTTTAAAATTAAAAATAATAATATTTTTATATGATATGCGATATAAATGTATAAATACATGAGAATTAGGTGATATGTAAGTAAATGAAGTTTTACATACATACTACTTAATTCTTATGTATTTACATTTCAAACACCCAGACTTCAATTTTTACATATGCGCCATTTTACCCATAAAATGAAAAAATATAAAAAAAAAAACATGATATTTCACTTTTTAAAGGTTAAAATAATCATATTTTGATGAGATATGAAAGATTTAAGTCATCACATCGAATCAGATCACTTTGACCACCTAAAAAATTGCAGCCACTAAATGAGAAACAGTGCACACCTGCTCAGGAGCATTCGTGCCTGCTCCCTGCAGATGTAGCAACAAGGTCCCTAGTGGAAGGAAAGTCCGAGCCTCGCAGTGAGCTCTTCAACTGTTCTTTGAGGCTGAGCCAATAAGTTTGATGGTGGTGGAAAATTTTAGTCCAATTGAATATGATTTCATTTGGCGTCGAGTCTGACCCGGGCATAGAACTTTTTGTGACCATATCACTCCTCTAATAGCTTATAGAGGTGGTCAAATTTTTATTATTCTCTCATTCTTCTCGTTCTGTCCTGCCAAAGAGCTAAGAGGGAAAGAAAAAAAAAAAACTAAATGTACATCCAAAAATAGATCCTCAAAATAACGGGAAGCACAAACATTATATGAGTCTTATGGGTTGAATGGATCAAACCTATTCATCACGCATTTGGAGCAATGACCTTGATCAATCTAGTCGTACACGCTAGTCATAACGATGAAGGTGACAACTACCAGACTTACCTCTTATAAGGATAAGGAGATCTCCTTTGTCTAGCATATTAGTATTTACATGAACTCCTCAGACTAAACTCGTTGATACTTTTTTATTCATGCGAGCTTCTGCCACCAGACTTACCTATCTTTGAACATAGGTTAAGACGCATCACAAAGATTTCTCATAATCAATTTGGATTTATACCAGACAGGTCTACTATGGAAGCTATACATTTATTCAGAGGTTTAATAGAGAAGTTTAGAGATAATAAGGAGAATCTACATTTGATTTTTATTGATTTAGAAAAAGCTCATGATAAGGTTCCAAGAGATATCCTTTGGAGAGTTTATGAGAAGAAAGGTGTTGATATGACTTGTATTCAAGTCATTAAAGATATGTATACTAGAGGTGTTACTTGTGTTCAAACTGAAGGAGGATTGACCAAATATTTTCCTATTTCTGTTGGATTACATCAGGGATCGGCTTGAAGCCCATATCTTTTTGTTTTAGTTATGGATGGTCTTGACATCTACAGGAGGATGTACCTTGTTGTATGCTTTTTGCTGATGATATCCTTCTCGTGGATAAAATGAGAGAAAAAGCCCAGGAAAAACTTGAATTATGGAGGTCTATATTGGAGTCTAAAGGCCTTCATTTAAGTAGAACTAAAACTGAATACATGAAATGTAATAGCTTTAGTGACAGAAGTGTGACTTTGGGTGATCAAATTTGTAAGAGGTGTGAGCGATTTAGATATCTTGGGTCCGTTGTTCAAAGCAATGGTGATATAGATGGGATTATTATAAAATTTAGGACGAAATAATGTAAATCCAGAAGAAGAACACTGAGATTAGATTAGATTTAAAGAGACACGGAAACGGTTAGGGCTTCGGATCGGCGTCGGCGAGATGGCGAATCGCGGGCATCACGACAGAGTAGTTCGCGCGCGCGATTTGGATCGCGACAAAGGAATCCCAGTAGTTTCGGAAGGGAATCTCTGGCGGACGGTTCGCGGGAGTCTTCGAGGCCAAGCGAAGTTTTGCCAAAATTTGGCGCAGGAAGGAGTTCGCAGAATACGCGAGCGGGAAGTGGGAAGGATTCAGGATCCAGCAGGAAAGGCTTCAACTTCGGAGGTTTTACTTGGGCACTTCGCGAATTTTGGCAGTTTTGTTCGTGGCAGTAGATCTTTTGCGGGACAGCATTGTAGCCGAGTTGTTGGCGCGAATAAGAAATGTGTTTCGTGTGAAAAATTTGATTCACAAATCACTGAAAACTGTGAGAAAATTATTGCAATTGACAGAGGAAATTTCAAGTTTATTTGAATTTATTTGTGGTGTGTTTTGTTTCAATACAAGTCAGGAAAAGTTCACTGCATGATTAATTTCAAATGACAATATCTGGTGCAAAATTTGAGAAAATAAAGTTCGATGAAACATGAAATTTCGGATTGTGACAAACAAGGATGAAAGATTTATTGGCACAACAAGGAATTTTGAAGGCATTGCGAGCTACGAAACCTGATGATGTGTTGACCAAGCCAGATACTATCAACAAGTTCTTGCATTACATGAACTTGTTGAATGTTTGCAATTGCTAGATAACATGGTTGCCCAACCCACTTAGGTGAAAGAAATTAAATGGTGCGACAGAGTTCGGTATTTTGCGAATTGCAATTGCTAGATGTCATGGTGGAGATTTGTCAGGTATATGTATTTCTCCAAAGGGGCTGGATATTTGCCAAGGTGGAGATTTGTTAGGTATGACTCATATACCAGAATTTGAAGTCTCTTGGAAATGAAGAGGTGTGCCTCCTGGAATGAAGAGGTGTGCCTCTTGGAATTGAAGAGGTGTCTCTTGGAATTTAGTGGGTTAGGGAGAGCAAGGGCGAGTTAGTAATTTTTATTTGTGGGTTTTATCTATATATATGATGTGTAACCCTATGAGTATGTAACTGGATTCCTCTGAAATAGTGAAATTCGTCGCTCTGCTCCCGAGGATGTAAGCATCTTTGGTGAATCTCGTAAATCTCTGTGTTTTTCTGGTTTTATGTCGATTCTTCCTTTTCTTCGCCCTAAATTTCTCAACGGTTAATAGTAGAATTCAAGTTGATTGTTTGAAGTGGAGGAATACTTTGAGCTTTTTGTGTGATAGAAAAGTACCGCTTAGACTAAACAAAATTTTTTATAAGACGATGGTGAGACCTGCAATGCTCTATGGCGCTGAATGTTGGCCTTTAAAAGAGAAGCATAATACTA